ACCCCTGTAGGAGGGGGAAAAATCGCTACAAGGCTGAGGTAAACAGGAGGCAATTTCACAAGCACAAACTGATTAATTTTATTTCCCATTACATGTATTTGCTAATATCATCAAAATTAGGAAATAAAGCAATTTTGCCTTGACAGTAGTTCAAACGGAGGTTGTTCTCGCAGAGGAATGGAGCTAGTCGGATATACCCTTGGCCCTAAGGCAGTTCTCCCTCTGGAGGGGGTAAGTGGTTTTTCAGCAAAAACTCCTTCTAGGGAGGGACACCCAAGAGCTGGACATGGGGGTGGAGGGAGGAGGAAGGGAACATCTTCCCAGCGCCTCCCAGCAGCCCCATGGAACTCTGCGATCACTGACGGCATGACCTGTAACAGACGCATCCCCCCACATCCAAAGATAAAAACACTTGAGGACACAAGTAAAGCTCTCCATGCCGTGAGGGTGGCAGGGAGATGGAGAAAAACAACCAACCTGCCCCGGGTTCCAGGACCGGTCAGGACAATGCACTTTCAACTTAAGAACACGGTTTGTGTATTCTTTCCAGCATGTTTCTCCTGCCCTACGTTTTAAAATACCCTTCCTTTTCCAGAGTTTGTGCATAATTTCTATATTTAAGTAATTGTCCAAACCCCTTGTGGATTATTCTTTTGCAAAAGGCCACAAAGGGGTTAATCAGAAAGACTGAAAAATACTTTTGTGACAAAAAAAGTGCTATTTAGGAAAGAATGAACTCAACTTTCGAGGCGTCTGGCTCTTGTCTGCCAGCCAAGTTAAGCAATAGACTCTAACTCAGCTGGTGGACCCCTCCATGGGCGGAACAGTTTACTCTCCCCCGAGGTCCTCATCCCTAGTTGTTCGAAGCAAATATTCATCTGAAAAAAAAATGTTTCATAAAAGCCCAAATACACTATTTTACCTCCCTTTTGGTCAACCAGAAAAAATTCCCAAAATCCCTTTGGAGCCATAATTACTTTGGTTATTTTATAGCACCTTTGTGTGGGGTTTTCATTCACATACCCCTTAAAACGCACCTGCAGACTCACGCCTTGTTTAGCACCTAGTTTTATGAGAATGGCTCTTCACAAAGACCCCACAGGCTTTGTCAACAGGACACCAAACATCTGCGAGAAGAGGCGAAAATTCGGGCCTAAATCCAGATGTTTGATCTGCGCAACTCCAAATACCCAGATGTTCCAGGGGGTGTGGGGAAACTGTGTTTTATAAATAGTACTTCGTTTCTGACCAAAAAAAAAAAAAAAAAATGAACAGGTGTACAAACAATCCAAAAGAGCAGATGAAATGGGAAAAACTCACTGTTGCTTCTATACCTGGTTGAGTATGTTATGCCTGTCTTTTTGCCCCACTGTAACGTTTTCTTCCAAGCCGTATTTTGTGCAGATTAATGGTAGGCGACTTTAGCCAGCATTTCTCCAGCTACTAGGAAGGAGATAATAAATAAGGGTGTCTGTGCCGTGCTAGAGCCCCAACACCAAGTTCCATTGATTCTCTCCTCCTTGATAACTCTGGCCGGCCATTGCTGCCCTAATGAAAGATCTCCTTATTCCTCCTGCTGACTGCTGCGTGACCTCACACTGCATGGCCTGGCCTCCAGTCTCCACCTCCACACAGTAGCCAAGCGACAGTTCTAAAACTCCAACTGAGGACCTCATTCTCCCACTCAAAGCTCCCCGCAAAGCCTCACCTTCAGGTTGGAGCCCAGCACTCTCGACCCGCTGGTCACATTCACACACTGACGCTCGCCACCAACACTGGCCCTGTGCTCCAGGCCATGTAAGTTGCTGTGTTCTAGAATATTCCTGTGAGTCTTCAGGCCTGTCCCTCTCCTTCCCTATAGTTGCAGCTTCCCTACCTATAACCCCTTTCCCTCCTTGCTAGCTTAGAAGACGCCCTCACACGCTTCACAAGCACTCAGATGTCACTGTCTCCATAAGGCCTGCTATGACCTCCCCAGCGGCGGGCTGTTCATCCTCAGTGTCCTCGTGGCATTTATCTCAGTGTGTCCCTCCACCCACTCATCCGATCTGTTCCATAGCCAACCAGGGCCAGGGCTGTCCATTTTACCACTAGACTGCTCTTAAAATCCCTTTAACAGCCTTGATATTAAGATAAAGACCAAAATCTATAGCCCCTGCAGCCCTGCTGGGCCCCCACCTCGGCTCCTGGACCCCGTCCCGCTGGCCTATGTCACTCCCAGAGTCCCCAAGTGTGCTCCTGCCACAGCCCTTCCATCACCTGACAGGGAGATGAGCCCCTTCCCTAGCCCTAGAACCTCAGCAGTCCCCTCTTTTCCTTCACAGCTCAAAGAAAACAGTCTGTTTGGTGGGGAAACCTTCCCTAAACCCCCTTTTCCACCTAATTTGAGCCAAATTCCATGGTTATATGTACTCAAAGCCATGCCCTGTTTCCTCATTGCAATCTTATTACATATTCATTAAGGTGAACTTCTGATTAATGTCTTTCACTCCTGTTAGTAGCTTCCATGAGAGTTAGGAATGGTGCTCTTGCTTCACGGTATTCCCACCCATAGCAAGGTACCTGTTCACCAGAACTGCTCATAAACGTTTGTTGAATGAATAAATGAATGATTGACATCCACTCAACACATCACCTTGACCATAATCCACATCTTGAATATAGAAGCTGGATATATTTTGTTCGTACTTGGGTCCTGGCACAAGGTGGGTCCTCATTATGCACTTGTTGAAGGAATACTGCTTGCAGATGCTACAGATTGTGGTTCAGTTGCAGAGCATCCTGCCTCGGGTAACAGTGAGCTCCTCATCTCTGGAAACACTCAAGGAGAAGACAGCTAGAACATATCAGGAATGCTCTAGAAGTAATTCAACCAATGAACAATATTGATGATCACTCATTTCCCTTCCTACCCTTGTATTCTACAGTACAACCAGAAAAGACTAGAAAGTAGATGAATATAAGGGAACAAGAGCTGCAGAAATGAATGAAACTACAACACCCCAGAAAGGAGAGTTTCGGGACAAATAGGGAGAGTAAGTTTTTTGCCAAAGTTTTCTTAATTGCCGGCAGATAGCGGACTTGAGAGACTCTGTAAAATATAGGTGTGAAGGCTGCAAGAGAGATGTCAAAGATTATAGTCTTAACTAGTCATCTGATGGCTACTCCTACCTCCTTAGCTTGGTCCCTATTGCTAGAGTTAGATACAGCTCAAAAGAGACTCAGTCTTTGACGAGCCAGGCAGAAAATTGTGCTAGTCACATGGAACCATTTTGACTGTTTTCTCAGCTGTTTCCTAAGAAAACAGATTTAACATTTGTCACCCTCATTCTTGAATAAGGAAAGCAATTTTCCTTTCTCCTAAAGCAAAAGATACAAGATGGAGTTAGTGTTTGTTGATGAAGAATGGGGTTCAGATTAATGACATGTTGAGCGTTCCTTTGTTTTTACAATCTCTCTATATTTTCACACTCAAGAAACTAAATGAATTGCCCTTACCTCCCATGGGGCTTCCTAATAGAATAATCCCACCAGGAAAATGTTCTCTTCCATGCCCCTCATCATTTCTTTTTCCAATCTCCCAGTCTCATGGCTTTGCCCATCATTAATCTGGTTCTGTAATATAAGAATGGCTGGGAGTGAGAGTAGAGAGGAAGAGAAGAAGGACAAACCAGAAATGGGCAACATATGATGAGAGGGGCCCAAAGGACTGTCTTTTATTTCTCTGCACAGCTAAGCTGACAATCATAATATTTCATACACCAGGTCACATAAGTCAATCATCAATTTTTGAGCCTATATCATGTAACATTCTTTGCACATATTAGTTCACTGGTTTTTAATTGCCTTGTAACTTGTGTATCATTATCTCTATGTAATAGGTGAAAAAGTTAAGGCTTAGATAAGCTAAATATCTTGCTCAAAGTCACACAGCCAATAAATGTTAGAGCTAAGATTCAGACCCAGGTATTCTGCCTACAAATACAGATCTAATAACCACATCTATACAGTCTCAAAGAGAGTCAGTGAGACTTTTCATTAACAGAGACCCAGTAAGCTGTCACACTAAATCAACCTGGGCCAATCATGCTCCCAAAAGCAAGATTGGGAATGTCTGGAGACATGTTTAGTTACCACAAATGGGTAGGTGCTACTGGCATCTAGTGAACAGGGGGCTGGGATGTCCCCAAACATCCTACAATTCACAGAATAGCCCCAACAACACAGAAGTGTCAAGTCCAAAATAGCAATAGCAGTGAAGTTAAGAAATCCTGCACTACATGCTCCCGGAGTTATGTAAAACAGGTTCTCCTGCTGCCAACTGGTGACCTTCTACGCCGAAAAAGGGAATAGCTCATAACTTCTCGATATACAGTCACATGCTTAACAATGTCTGGCATTGGCCCAGGTTCTTTTTAAGAATGGAGACTAGAGAAAGGAAGGAAAGGAAGAAGAAAAAGAAAGAAAAAAGAAAGAGAAAAGGAGAAAACTAACATCAGAAACTGACAATCTGCAGCATTCAACAGCTGGATCACATTACATGGAAATCCGGCCCAGTGAGAGCACAACAGGCTGCTTTTGTGTCTTCGTGAATAACGCGATGTGCTGGGTAAATGATCTTCCCCATTTAGAAACAGGTAGTTAATGGGAATCGAAGTGATCAAATACCGTGTACCCCAAGGTTACGTACAGCATGGGCCTGGGTGGCCCCAAGCTCATAAATAAAGCATCGGAGAGTCTTATTTTAGGCCTGGTCAGACAGGCAAGGGCTTGCATCATGTGAACGGAGCCCACAGTGCGATGTGACACTGAGCCTGGTAATTCCAGGACCTCTCGGAATGTGACATTTCGAGCACAGTACACCGAGTTCATACCCTGTGGAAGCTCCGGGGCCCACCATGCCTTAATTTTCCATCATCTCCTTAATTCGGCTGCTGAGCGAGAGGGCTGTTGCTGAGCCGGACTTTAAATTACACCCAGCGCGTTCCCTACCATGCAGAAGTCAATTTGAGGCACATTTGCAACTTATAACTCTGATTTACTCATTTGCTGGTATGAGGACCACACACAGCTTGACAACCCGCCAGCTCGCATAGACCATTCTCTCAGAAAAGGTTTGGCCCAAGTCGTGACCCAGCTTGGCAGCTCAGAAAACCAGCTGCCGGACAATGGCGGAATGTGGAGTTGAATGTAAGGAAAAAGAATCTCTTCTTTGCCTCAATTTTTTTTTACATATAATTATGTAATCATATCTCCATTCAGTCCTTTGACATAAATTATGCTTAATCAAATTGTTGCTAATTTGTTGTTTTATTATTAGTTCCTGACTTGTTTGTTATGTATCCGTGTGTGCACACACACACACCTCAGTGCTCCGTCACAGCGGTGGTGTTGTTTTGGAAGTAATGAAAATGTTCTGTATGAATAATTTCTCTATTTGACAGAATAAGCAAAGATTTCGAAGAGCGCTTGTTCACAGGGTATACAAATGGCTACATGAATAACTCCAATGTGATAATTTTCTGGTGTTATTGTTTTTTACTCATAGATTTCCTATAATCTAATAATACCAATCAAATAATATATCTTTGGCATGAAATAAATTCTCCCTACTGTTAAAAAAATAAAAGAGCAGCTCCTATAATAAATACATTTCCTTGTGATTTGTATTGCACTGTTTCTTGTTCTGACCCTGGGATCCCAAGGAAATGTCTTCAATAAATGTTTGTAAACGATTTGGGGTATGACACAGGGTCTGAATTTCCTACGAGATTGTGTAACTAGTTGTCATCGACTAAAAGCCAGCACCACATCACCCATGGAACCACCTTCTGGGAGCTGGTTTCCTCTAAATACATACACTCTTTCCTGCTCCACAGGGAACCTGCTTAGGAGCCAAAGCTTCTGCCTCTGACACTGTTTCTCAAAGTGTGAGCCATGGAACACCGGCTCATTAGAAATGAGGATTCCAATATCCTTGTTCGGGTACTTTGTTAGGAAAACCCATGGTGCTTCTCAGACATGAAGATTCCTAGATGCCACTCCAAATGAATCAGATCTGAATCTCTGGCGGAATCAGCAGTTCCAGCAATATTTTCAGGTGAAATTGTCTTTCTTCTTTGAGTCTTGAGGCATATGGATTGGGTGTAGAGGAGAGAAAGTAAGATTGTAAAAAATGTGCTCCTAAACTCTCTGTATTTGAAATGAACTAAAGTCACAAATTCCAAGCTAAAGATCATCAGTTGGCTAACATCTCAACCTACCAAAAAAAAAAAAAAAAGATCTTCAGAATGATAACTTCCTGAGATTCTAAAAAAAAGAAAAATTGTGTTTATACTCATTATATCATGTATATTTAGACAGGAACATAGAGAAATCAGCATGTTTCCATGATATACTTTAGAATGAATTTTCAACCAAAAATATTTTTTTTTAAGTTTTCTCTAGATAATCTGATGAAACTCCACTTACCTCCCAAGCATTCTAGTTCATAAAGGTTTTGTTATATTTCACTAGATAATTATCCCTTTGGTTTTCTATTCTAGCTTATCATCATTATGATGACAGAGGAAAGTGACTTTAATTCAAAATTCCAGAAGATTCTCAGAAGTAACTCAGTAACATAATTTACACCAAAGAGATCAGCTATACACTCAGAATTACATCCCCACCTCACCTGGCACACACGGGCATTGCCAACCCCAAACACCCTTGTTAACTTCTGTCCAGGTAGTTGCCAGGATTGGCTGAGTAAGTATATGCAATGTGTTGATTTGGCACATTGCAATAATTCATTATTATTGTGTTTGAGGCTGTGGTCCCATGAATGTAGTCACAAGGCCCGTGTCACCTACCATAGGTTTCTATCAGCCCACAAACGAAGGGATCTAGGGATACAGATTGGCATTCAACCATTTCTACCAACTAAAATGTAAGGAATGTAGAGGGAAGAACTGAGGCTCCTGTTTCTATCTACCCTCCACACCACCTCACATCTGTCCAGCTGGGCAGACAGCTGCTTTTCTCTCCCACCTCACAAAGATACCCATGGCATGATAACCATCCCATGAAGGTCAGCATCCAATGGGATGAAGAAAGTCCTCAAACTTAGTCTTTCGAATCTTTAAAAAGACCAAACAAAGCACATGTTTTGCCAAAACTCAAGGGAGCCCTCTGTTTCCTACACAGGGACATGGTCTTCTTTCCCTAAAAGACTCAGAGATAAAATGGCAGCCTTGCCAAGCCTGGGGAGAAAGTGGATTATCGGCAAGCTTTTTGCAAATTCAGCTCCTTTTACTCTGTAACTACAGAGAAAGAAAGTGTCACACCCTCACTCAGGAACCATGACACCTCTATCTGGAACCCAGCTGTATTAGAGATTTACCGTATGGCCTTGGGCAGCTCATTTAACCTCGCAGTGTCTTAATTTCTTCATCTGGAAAATGAAGACGCTACCTACAGCATGGGCACAGCATTTCAAGGTTAGTGCATGAGGCCGATATTGAAATGCAACTTAGCAGGGGAACGTCTAATGCTAGGGAGGAAGTCAGGCACAGCAGTGCCCTTCTGGGGGTTGCACCATGTGCAGAATCACAGAGCTGGGCCCTAAGGTCGGTAAGGCACATGACGAGTGCAATAAGCCATTCCAAATATACCACCTGGCGTCTTTATTGTTATTGCCGAGTGGAGTTGATAAAGCGAACAAAGAAAAGGGTTGGGAGCCCTAATTTATCAAATGTTATTGATACAGATCTCATATTGGCAGGCAACAGGCCACTTTTAGATTTGGATCAATAAATCCATTTTATAATATAGTCCAATCCCAACATTTCACCCCCAAATCCATCCATCTAGATATTAGAAATCCATCCTGCTCTGCCTGCAGTCTGTCAAATGTCACCACGGGAGTGCAGAAGCCACCCTGCCAAGTCTATATCCTGAACTAAATCCCAATGGAAACTTCCCAGATATAAATAACCACTATGAACATACAGGAAAGAAAAATAGCTATGAAGTTTCACTCTTACTTTTTTTTTTTCTTTCTAGCCTGTGACAAGTAAAAAAATCATAGAGTTACTCACTCTCCAAAAACCATCTAAAACCAGAAAGTTTAACCAATTCAATTTTCTAGTCACTGTGACAACTATTTTAATCTGCGAGGCAGCGGTCGGGACACATACACAGACCTCATCCACGGTGTTTTCACAGGCAGCCCCTGCTGGAAACTCCAAAGGCGGCTTCCGTTCCCGGACTCACTGCAGGCAGTGGCATTTGATGACATTCAGGGTCTCATGGCATGAAGACAGAATTCTCTATTTACAGTCAGGGAGGGAGGAACATTCCTTCCACTTGCAGGTTGATTAGTGAGAGCCTCGGGAACTGATTGTAAGGGAGCCCCAGTTTAATAGCGGGAGGAGAAACTCACTCAGTTCGCAAGGCACAAAAAAATAACGTAAAGAAATCAGAGGACTGAGCCTGAACACCGGGGATACCCGGACTTGAATTGCACAGAGTCAAGAGTGTGTGACTTTGATTAAATCATGTCATCTCCCTGAGCCTTGGTTTCCCCATTGTCAACATGGGAGGGCGGCTATTGTGAGATCAAATACAATAGTATGAAAACCCCTAGCACGATGCCTAGCACATAGTATGTGATCAATAAATATTTGCTAAAACATAATCTGGATCAAGAAATACTAAATTATTCATATCATTCATTAACCAATGGGCAAAAGTTCATTTAATAAATGCATACCATAGTCAAGGAGAACGCTAAATGGTGGGAATAGATAGATAAGAAGAAAAGATTATGATGCTCTTCCTCAGGATAAGACAGAAGAAATGGGCCAGGCTAGATAAGGAGACTGACTGTCTCTAGATTTGAGCTCAGGGCGGGCACCCCACACCCGGGTCTGGGGGACTGTGAACCATGCCACCCTTCCTTGCCCAAAGTGGCTGGTTACACTCTGGTTTCCTGCAATTTATGGACTAACACCTGTGCTCATTTGCTCAGAGAATGCAAGCCTACTGTAATATTAGCCTCAAATAGGTTGTTACAAAGGTAAATCTGCACATGTAAAAGCCTAAGCATGGATTGGTTTAGGATTATCTGAGCTTTTAGATTCTTCTGACCATATCCAGAGGGAAGATGCAGGGGCAGACACAGGTACCATCCTGAAAAGCTGAAGGTAAATTAAAATGTCATCCAGAGTAAGAATCTCCTTTTCCTATTGAATTGCCTTAGGCATTTGCATTCTTGAGACACGGCCTCTTTGAAGTCTGTCTTCATGCACAATAAAAAAGAGAGGTGGAAGAGGTAAAAGATGAGAAAAGAAGGAAGAGGAAGGAGAGAGAATGGGGGAAGAGGAGGAGGAGAAAGTTAAAAAAAAAAAACTCCAAAATAGCCCAGGTCTCAGTCTGGCCATTCAACAGTCAGGGCCCAGGAGGGATTGTTGCCCCTTCCCGATGGGAGGAAGGCAGGACATAGAGTGAACTCAGCAAGCTATGGCGTCTTTCCTCCACTGAGCCGTCCACCCTACACTGAATCCATTTGCTTCTCCCCCAGAATTTAAAGGATTTGTTGTTGTTTCACACAGCAATGATTTGGAGGCAACAATCCTCCTGGCCGCCCCCATCTGTCCCTGCCACTGTCTGCACTGCCCCAGAACTTCCCAGGCCAAAGTCATCTGGAGACCACCGATAGGATTGTTGTCATATTTGATTTAAATCAAGTCGCTTTTTAAAACTTTACTAATGTTCTAGGCAACAATATTGGTAAAACTATGGTGTTACTGTGCTAGTTACATTTTCCTACTATACGTTAGCATAAGTCAATATTATTTTTTAAAAAAGCGTAGCATAGTGATTAGGAGTACAGATGCTGAATGTGTTCAAATCCTGGCTCTGCCACTACTAGCTGTGTGATCATGGCCCCCAGGTTCATGGTCTATTAAATAAATGATATCTACTTCACAGAGTCACTATAAGTATTACATCAGTTCATATTTGTAAAATGTTTGCACCATCTAGAACCTTCTATGTGAGCAACACTTTTGAAAACACTGCACTATGCACAATAGTGTACCCCATCCCTCCTCTCAAGGTTGGCTTATGCTGGGGCTCTTCTTTGGGATACCCTTTTGCTTCCTTCCCCCTGCCCCAACCAAAACCCAAAGCAAAACCCATAAATGCACACTCATTCCTCTTAAAAGCTGACCCACTCTCAGGTCCATTTTAAGTAAATATAATAGTAATTACAGTCACTTATGGAGCATCTATTATTCTACAGTCCCTGTGCTCAGTACTTTCCAAATATCATCTAATTTAAGCTTTATTTCTGATACTATGAAGAAGATCCAGCTTAAAGAGATTAGGTAATTTTCCTAAGGTCTTACAACTAGTAACCAGGCGAGTCAGAATTCGAACCCAGGACCATCTGACTCTCCAGCCTGTGTATATCCCATTAAACCACGAGGCATGACCATGAAATTCCCCCTTCCAAGAGGGCATCAGAGTATCCAGCTAGACATGACTCACCTTCCTCTCCCACTGTGTGTACCTCTCCCATTGGACTTACAGTACATGCCACATCGTAATGTAATATAATCGTTTATTCATCTCTCTTTCCCCCCTATTATTCAGGATATGTCTTTCTATTTTAAGCACTTTGGAAGGAAATCATTCTAAAAATCTCCCTGAATTTGAAAAAGGGTTACATTATACTGGACAGAATTTAACATTTTCTTTACAAATTCCAGTCATCTTTATCAACACCAAGTACTGTAATGTCCTATGACGTAACCACGACTTTAGGGCAATTTTTTTTTTCTGTGTGGTATGGGCTGACTGTTAAAAATTCAGACTCTTAGGAAAAAAAAAAAAAAGGGGGGGGGAGAAAAAAAAAAATTCAGACTCTTGAGCCCCGCCCCAGATCTGCAGAGTCAGAATCTCTGCGTGAAGGATCAGGAATCACTCGAGCTTAAGAACCACTGCCTTAGGGTGCGTGTGGGCATTTGACCCTGCTTACCACTCTCAGACAGTTTTTTAGTTCTTGTATCTGCTTCTCACCAACCTCTCCCACCCTTCAAGCTGACAGCTTTCACTTCTCACTGCCAACCAAGATTGCTGGATGAATGTTTCCTATTTCCTTCTTTCTACCCACTAATGCTATGGTTCCTAGACTATTTCTTTTTAGCTTTAGAACCTTTGTTGAAAACTGATCTCTAGATGCCCAGTATAAAGCATATAGTACCAGAGCTATTCCAATGGCACGTGAGAGAGTGTCCTGGGTCCCCAATGCTTGTCTCACTCCCCTTCACCCCTCACCCCTACCCCTCCCCTCCCCTCACCACCACCCATGCTGGCCCTGAGAACCCTCCTCAGATTGAGTCCCTAGGCTTCTGTAGAGACCATGCCCCAAACCACTGAGATAACACAACCTTCAACAATACCACCTTCTGGCAAATCTTCTTGTACTTTTATAGTGACAGATACCTTATTTTTTATAAATATTAAGATCATCAGAAAAGGGGGTTTTTTTCTTGTAAATTTGTCAGTCCGTATAGTCCAAAATCAAGTGTGTAGTCCTTTCTACTTGAGAGCATATCACCAAGTTTATAATATAGTCTCTCTATTATATAGTCCAGGCATCCTCAAACTACGGCCCGCGGGCCACATGCGGGTATTTTTGCCCATTTGTTTTTTTACTTCAAAATAAGATATGTGCAGTGTGCATAGGAATTTGTTCATAGTTTTTCTTAAACTATAGCCTGGCCCTCCAACAGTTTGAGGGACAGTGAACTGGTCCCCTGTTTAAAAAGTTTGAGGGCCCCTGATATAGTCTTTATATTATATATGCAAAGTTATCCTTACAGTGAATATTCTTAATGTGGAAAATGATGATCTCGTTGCATTAACAATTGGAATACCACCTACTTTGGAAAGGCTCTCAGAAAAAGTGGACAAGGGAATTTGTCTTTTCACAATAAGCTCTCTTCTGTGAAAGAGAATGTCAGAGCATCCAGAAAAACTTTTGAACTTTTAAAATTTTAGGCATCTTATATTGACCATATTCTAAATATATTAGTATATTAATTATCTAAAAAGAAGGTTCAAGCAGCAGTTTTTAAATTTAAATATATATAAATAAGAGCAAATTCTTTTTTTTTTTTTTTTTTGCCCAGGCTTTGTTGCCCAGGCTAGAGTGAGTGCCGTGGCATCAGCCTAACTCACAGCAACCTCAATCTCCTGGACTCAAGTGATCCTGCTGCCTCAGCCCCCTGAGTAGCTGGGACTACAGGCATGCGCCACCATGCCCGGCTAATTTTCTGTATATATATTTTTAGTTGGTCAATTAATTTCTTTCTATTTTCAGTAGAGATGGGCTCTCACTCAGGCTGGTTTCAAACTCCTGACCTCGAGCAATCCGCCCGCCTCGGCCTCCCAGAGTGCTAGGATTGCAGGTGTAAGCCACCATGCCCGGCCTAGCAAAATTCTTTTAATGATCTTTTTTGGCCTTTTTCTTCCAAAATTTATAGTTTTGAGACTCAGAATTTAGGAAGTAAATTTAACATTATGTGCACTAGAGGCAAAGGGGTGGGATTCTTGTGTGGAAGTTACGATATGATTTCAATAGTGAATTAGGACAAGGTTCAAAATCCTGTATTCAGAGAAGGATACAGTAAATGTGGCAAAACATCAGCAACTGATGCACATAAGTAAGAGATATGCAGAGTGTTCTTTACACTAGCCTTCCAACTTTTCTGTAGCTTTGAAATTTTTCAAAATAATATTTGGGGGGAAAAGCTCTAACATAGGTACAGATAGAGCATAGTCATGAATTTATTCAACAGGGCCTGGTCCTGGGTGAGAAAAGTGAAGCCCTAAGGCACAAAATCTAAGTAAGTGCTTGTATGACCCCAAGAGCGAATGCCTCTTTAAATTCAGCCCCTTATCCCCTCACTTGCCCGAAGCCAGGCCAAGGATAGCAATGTATCTGTGGTCTCAAACTGACCCTAGTAAACTCTTTTGACTCCTAAAGAGAAGACGCTTAAAGCGAATTTTATCCACACATTCATTTGCTCATTTATTCTCCAAGCACGTATATGCTAAGTGACTCCCCTGAGTGTCGCCATGGACGTCTTGGGTGCTGGGGACACCGGTGACAGACCAGTTCCAGCTGAAATACCTCAGTATCTGCCAGACACTGTTTCGATAATATTTTTATCATCATCGTCATGATCAAACATCATCATTGTAACCATCACCCATTTGCATGTCTATTTTCCCAATTCAGTGGAACCATGAGAGGGCAGGAAATCGGTACCATCCATCTTTGTGTCTTCGACACTCAGGATAGTTGCACATAAAGTACACAATGAGCAGTTCTTGAATGGCTGAAACCATAAGAAACCATAAGAACTGATTTGTTCTTACTGAAATATTTGCCAGAGTTCAGGTGAATATGAAACTTCCCTCTGGAGTGCTTAATAATACTTGCTAACATTTGCTAGATGCTTACAAGCTGCCCAGTATTTTCTAAGCTCTTTCCGTATATTAGTTCAATTAAGCCTTGCACCAACACTAAGATGTAGGTGCTAAGATTCTCCTTTTACAGGTCAGCAAATATTATAAGAAATTGAATACTTTTTCCAATCTCACACAGAGAGAGGCCACGCCCAGTGTGAACCCAAGGAGCCCAGCTCTGAAGCCTGCCTTCTCAGAGGCTCCACGAAGCCATCTCACACTTGCTACCCAGGGAAGGGCTGCCCAGTTCCAAACAGCCCCCATCTGCAGGTTGCTTTTCACCCTTACCACGTAGAAAGCTCTAGATAGCACCAGAGACACTTCCGGCAAAGTGATCCTCAGCTCCCATGGCCTGGGCAGGCATTTCAGACTTTGGGGGACTTCCTGTTTAATTTCACCTTGTCTAAATACAACCAACTAAAAATAACCTGGAAGGGAAGAGTCTCGGAACTGCGACAGGAGCTGCAGAACGCTGCAGAGGGCGTCATGTGAAAGAATGACCCTGGCCTCCAGAAAACGCTGCAGCCGCGTCTCAACATCAGCAAGTTGCACATTGTGATGAGAAAATAAAGTTTCCAATTATTGAAATTCCATAGTGTATTTAATCATGCAATTATCTTATTGTATTAACAAGTGCTAGAGCACATCAGCAATTGCTGAGATTTTTACAATTTGGAAGTGCAGAATTTATTCTTTCCCTCAGCTGATTACTTCTCATAAATCTGTCCATTTTTGTGGGATTATGGAAATGATCCTATTTTTGGACTGCTTCATTCAGAAATTCAAAGCAAGGCAGACCCCCAAATCTTGCCACTCCAACTTTGAAGTATGACCCCAGTACAGACTGAGCATATTTCAGGGGAAAATGTCTGCAAATTAACATCATTTTTGTTTCCTTTAATCGCTTTAGGCTTTTTTTCCCTTTTGAAATTCAAATAAATATAGTGTAAATATAAATTTAAAAAGCACTTGTACAAATTACATATTTTCAATGATGCAAACACAAATACATTTTTGTTCATTTGCTTAATAAGGATTTATCCCAAAGCGTTCATATATCAGACTGTAAAACCCAGAATACTCCATCAAAACATCTAAAATAGGTATGCCACGATACTATTATGCATTTCCATTTGCCTCAGTTACTTCAGCAAATATGAAATGTAATCATGCAAAATTAAACATTCCATACATTTTCTATTCATTCTCTAACACTCTCCCCATATGCTGAAAATAGGCTATCACACTTTCAAGTTTAAGGGGACAAAAAATGAATCAAATTTCTTGCTTCTGAAAGCATTATGACTATAGGTATTTTCATGTATGGCTTTTCATCTAAGAATTACCAGGCTTTTTACACATAAAACATAATTGCTCCATATAGCCCACCATATCCCTACCCAGTGAGACTCCTCCTTGCTGATAGAGAAGCCATACCTGCATTTTCTCACCCTAAATTTGGTCCAGGCTTTTAGGAATATATTTCATTGTCTTGTGCATGACCAAGAGGCAGAGGAGGAACTTGGCCCACTCTCCCAAATAAGTAGTAGTTAAGAGCACAAACCCTGGACTCCAACTGCCTAGTGTTTGGATCTCAGTTTTGCAATCTCTTAGCTATGAGATGATGGAGCAAGTTGCTTAGCTTCCCTGCGCTTTAGTTTTTGAAGGCATAAAATTCAAATAATAATAATAGTACCTCTCCTATAAAGTTATTGGGTGGATGAAATCAGTTAATACATGTACATCATTAAGAATACAGCCTTAATAGCATTAGATATTATTGTTTTGTCCTGCTCACATATGACACCTGATAATCTTTCAGAGTCAGTTCCCAACAATTACCTCAAGGGATCTATCTCTTTGCCTTCCTGCAAAGTAGTGGAAGTAGATGCTATTGTTCCCATTTTACAGCTGAAGAAGTGAGATTCAAAGAGAGCTACCAGTAGTCAAGATTTGAAGCCTTGGAACCTAGACTAGTAGATTTTCACTATGCCTCTTTACATCCAAAACAAACTGACTCAGTGGCCCAGGTAGTTCCCTGCTTGTTTTGTGGGAGAGGGAGGGGGTCTTGTTTCTGGGGAGACCTGGGAAGCACTCCTTTGCCACCACGGCTTGTCTTGCATAACAGAAAAGACCCTGAGCAGCAGGAGACAAGTCAACGAGACTGCCGTAATCATGATTTCTGCTAACTATGAAATGAAAGTTAATTTCATGCCTTGCATTCACAGACAAAAAGGTTCAGAACTGTTTAAATTCTCTTCAGCCCAATGACAGTTAGTAAATAGGAGGCTTCGTGTTCTAATGCTTGAAATCACCCTTCGTATCTCAATATATTATTTATGCACTCAGCTTAAAATAAACAGCAACTCTGAAGTAGGTGAGCGGTCTCATTTAGTTCGAACTTTTTTTTTTTTTTTTCACTCTGACAGTTACTTTAAAACATCGGTAAACAACCTTAATTCACTTCTAACGAATTAGTAAGCTACTGCTGTGTCTACAGGAGGCAGGTAGATTGTATTATTAACCAAAACAACTTTCTCCCTGTCAATCATCTGCACCTCACGGGGGGGCTGTGGGCTTTGCTGTCTTGTTACTCAAACCGATCCATGGCTGCCCGGGATTCCAGACGATTTCTTCCGAGGCCATTCTCTTCCGTGCCTTTCATTAGATCTCTTGACTCTGAGATGCTGAATGGGGCCTGGAGAAGGCAGATTATCAGTGCTGCTTGTTAAGAAAGATACAGACAAATGAGAACCTTTCCAGAGGGGTAAAGAGTTTGGAAATTACGCCAACAAGCTCTCATTGTTAAGAGAACTGAACCTGATAAAGAAAGCACTGTAGAGGGACCCAATAGGTGTCACCGAATATTTGAAGGGGTGTCACTGTGGAGGAGGAAGACTCACTCTTTTTAAGTATGAATAGTAAAATTAGGACCCAAAGGTGGAGATACATAGAGGGTAGGTTTGGGTCCAACTAGAGAAAGAATGCTGGGATGGCAAAGGACTGCCTCATTAGTTTGCGGATTTTCTGCCTCTAGAGGCTCTCAGGCACCTGGCAGATGGAACCCTTAAAAGTGGACAACAAATAAGGACTAGATGAGACACGCAAGGCCCCTTATAAACATAGATCCTGTAGCTCTGTGGATAGCACGTTACTCACTAAAATGGGTTCCAATAAGCAGTCCCAATCCTTTTTAAACTTCTCTGTGTTAGGAGGTTTTAAAGGGTGGCAGCCACCCTTTAAAAGAAAAAAATAAAATTCATGGGTTAAGTACTGCACCTACAGCCAGCCAATCCATGGTTGTACACACAATTCCAGGGCCTTGGTTGGCCTAGCAAAATAAAAAGATGCACCATTCAATGGACACAGTCGATGGAAGCAGTTGCTTTAGGACTGAACAGTTGCTGCTCTGTTCTTTGGCTGTGTGGTTTGCAGCTTTTGCCATTCCATGGATAGGTGGTAACTTGCAAGTCACCTGCACCGCAACCTAGTTGAAGAGCAGCGACCCACACTTAGCTCACCATTCTGCTCGTCTTCCACCCCCAGGCCCCAAATCTGGAAACACAATACTTAGCAAACCCGTCTAATCAACTTTCATCATCAGCAAAGCATCGCTCACCTCATCGAAATAGTCAGTCTCTCCCTGAAATCAACCACCTCTCTGAGACACAAACTGACTGCTCAAAACACAAGTTAAATACAAATCAAAAAGAAAGGGAGAAAGAGGTGGGGGAAGAAATAAAGACACCTTATATTTACATTTACATTTATACAACATTTTTACATAATATGCAGACATATATTCTTCAAATTATCTAGTAAACATTGCCTGAAATTTTTTTTTTGGGGGGGGTAGTTTTTATACACCCAAAGTATTGATAAAAACATTAGAAAATTCAGAAATACCCAATTCCTCAAAGGAAGTCAGATTATCAATATGTAGGTGTGAAACACAGTGTTACCAATTTCCTGATAACGGCAAGAGCAGACATCTGGTATTTACACTTTGGAATAACAGAAAATAACATGACAATAATGTGTTATACTTACAAAGTACCCTTCATCCATGGGGCTCCAATTTTACCAATATTAGTTCACTGATTTTCGCAAAAAACCTGAAAGGCAGAGGGTAAGTTTGTGTTACCCCCACTTTGCAGATGGGGATATTGAAATGCAACAGGAACAAATTATTGGTGCATTAAGATGAGAACTCAGTAATGGGAGGGCAATAATTACAACTGTGGTCTTCCCCATCACAATGCATCTTGAGCACCCATCTTTCCCTTGGGGACTGATATTTCCCATGTCATTTTCACCACAATCTCAATGTAATTAAACATGTTTTAGGGTAAGACAGTGAGGAATGTAACCCCTTTTTCTTATGAGCCCAGACACCAATATTCCTTCAATATCAGAGAAAAGGTTAGAAACATTTCCCATATCCAGTTTAAAACATGGAGAAAAAATTAGATTGACAAAATTCAACCATCCAACTAAAAATTTGGCCTGAAAATAATGTTACTACTGTTCAGTTTGTTATATACTTATGTTCACATTTCAGCATATGGACTTGTCTTTTAAAAATAGGGAAGTCAGAATACTTCAGAAGTAATTTTACTAACAACATTTTTAGAAGGGAATATTTTTAACAACCTTTTCTAGGACACCCCATCCTTTCTACCATTCTCAGGCCATTTATTCATGCATTGAAAAAATAATCAATATTTATTGCATTCTTACTATGTGTGAGTTTAGTACTGTGTGTGGTTTCCTGGAGGACACAAAAATGTGTATGACACAGGTCCTACCATCAAGAGACTTCACAATCCTGTGGTTCAATAATTTTATTACTGGGACAATCACTCTAAGCAAAAACTCTCCAGGAAGACCTAATAGTTTCTGGACGTTCCTAGTAAGTCACAGACATCAATCCCAGAAGAATGGCACCTCCAGAAAATATTCTCGAAAAAGATGAGTTTGGGTTCTGTTTATGAGCCATCCAATTTGGGATTACAGAAATGCTAAAAGATAGGTCTGCTTAAAAAATGTAAGCCCCGGAGTGAGTTCTCTCAAAGCCCATGATTTGAGGATCATGGCCTCCTACTATCTTTTCCTTACTCACCTCTGCACCCACACTGACCTCATCCTCAAGTACCCAAGCACATTCCCACCTCGGCAACTTTGTCCTTCCATTTGTCCCTTTGCTTGGGAAAATCTTGCAGTTCTTGCATGGCTTATTCCATTCCTTTCATCAGAGCTCTGCTCAAATACCTGCTCACTGAGCTCTCCCCGACCACCTATCTAAACTA